TTTCCAGATCCCCTTTTGTTGCCAGTTCAGTGGGTACAGGTGGTTGAGTATCAGAGTGTTCCATCTCATTTCCCTTTGGGGTTGCTGTAGGTGATCTGGAAGTCTCATTTTGAGACTTATTTACATGTCTTCTCATTTCGACTGAGGGGGGCGGGGGGGTGCTGTTGGTGCCCACACAGCTCACCTCCTCTGAGCTGGGAAAGATGGGACAGGGGCCGGGAGCCCAGAAGCCCCTTTCTCTGGGCTGGGAGTGGCGGGACAGATGGTGGCCTAAAAGCCCTTTCCTCTGGGCTGGGAGCGGCGGGACGAATGGTGGTCCAAAAGTCTGTTGCTTTCTTCAATGAGGCACTGAGGATGTTTCCTATTTTTTTTAGGATTGTTATTATGTATAGTAGTTGACTGTATACAGCTTTAGCTCTCACCAGAATATCAAGTACAATGACAACAATAAAACAGACATATATTGAAGCTAAATGAATGACTAAGGAATACTATATTCAGTGAACTCTTGGGGGAAAATAAAGCATAAAGCTGTTCTCTTTTGCAGTAAACCTAAAAGTGCTCTATTTTAAGCGTTCCTGGTTCTTGCATAGAGCATGGCAGTACATGCCTATAATCGCAGATACTTGGGAAGCTGAGGTAGAAGAATCCCAAGTTCAAAAGTAGCCTAGGATACTCAATGAGACTATGTCCCAAACATAAAATTTAAAAGGATTGGAGAAGTACTGGGTTCAATCTCCTGTGGGTGCGGGGGTAAGAAGGAGAAGGAGAAGCAGAAGCAGGAGGTCCATTCTGTCACAGACTCACAGCTGTCACTTCCAGCTGCTGTCATGTGTATTTCACTTCCTATTCCTATCATTTCCATTTTAATCAGATACCCAAACTTTTCAAATTGTATCTATAAACAAAAAGCAAAGGTACTCTGAACGTGACCTCATGCACTCCACTGGAAATGCCAAAAGTGAGTGTGAACGCATGTTTATGGCACATAATCTGACTTTTGAGAAGTCTGTTATTTATCTCTCTTCTGGGATTCCGAGGTATAATCTAAGTAAGTTAGGATTCACCATAGGCTTATTTCAAAGAACACGAAATAAAAGACTTGACTAGTTCTTGTTTGGTCACTAAAATTTTACAAGATACAGTACTTCCCATTCCCAAGTTTTAAGAAAACCTATTTGGTTTTAATGTTTTGAAGCAAAGCATTAAGCATATATTATTTACACTGGGTAGATATTTTAATTGCATATATATATATATGAAATGCATGTAAAAATCACATGAAAGGTGATTTTTCTAATTTCATGGAAAAATGTAAAACCAAGTAATAAACAGCTTTAAGGGCTGGGGATTTAGCTCAGTGGTTCCGCCGCCTGCTTCACAAGTGGAAGGTCCTGAGTTCGATCCCCAATACCAAAAAGGAAACAGCTTTAATGGTACCATTTTAAAAATACATAAAAACTACTAAAACAAATTGGTAGAGGGAAAAAATTATGTTGAAAAAGAACTGAAATTCGATACCACATTGTTAAACTTTTCAATCAAAATCCATAACAAATTTCATCCAAAAAAGAACACACTAACATTATATTTTCTCAAAGTACTTTCTAATCCAACTAACTGCTCATTTCTACAAATAGTCTTTGCTTCAGAGTTACATCATCACATTTTGTAGCTGTTTACTGTTCAAGAGCATCCCTGCCTTTACAGATTTAACAAAGAAGTCACTCAGCAATTAAGGCCCGAGAAAGGTCTTGTTCCAAAACAGAGTCAGTTACATAGCACCTAATAGTCCAAGATGTATTAATATGTATAGATTATTTGGTCTAAATATCTCAAGTTATCTAGTGCTTTAGCTATAAAACAATTTTTCAGCTTTGAATAACTTTTTGTTCTAGTAGTCTACTCTAGGTAAAATATTTAAATAATAACCACCAAAAATGAAGCTACTAAGTACAAAACTTGCTCTTATTTATAGACTTCAAAGTGACCAAACTATAAATATAATTAAAGATTGCTCATAAAGAGAAAAAGGATAATTTTGCACCTTAAATATTTTCCTTAATGTGTATTTATTTTATTTTGCTTTGACAAAAAGTATAATATAATATATATAATATATATTGTTTAATAAAGCATCCTACAAAGCCAACAGAAAAACCTAAGAACTTTGCATGCACTATTTCACAACTGTAAAGATTTCTCAAATTTATAAATCAGTCTGTGTGCATGTACTCAAGCAAATATGTATGAGTCTACCTTAATGAACAGTTAATTATTCATAAATAGGAATAAGAACAAACAGAATTGATAAAAATATATAACCTCTGTGGATTTTCCAATTTTCTGCATGTGTCAGGAAAATGATTAGCCAGATCCATCACCTCCTCAGAGATTGCAGTCAACTGTTTCTTCATTTCACTAGGTAGGATTTCCTCCACTGTTGGGAAAAATCAATATTAATTTTCAAACTACAAAGCAGAACTATTTTAGCAACTTCATTAGATAGTATTAGTTCAGATTTTCATTTTCTTTTCCTGAATTCCAACAAAAAGACTTCTTTATTTAATCCCCAAATGACCTCAGTCACTTTCTTTCCTTTCAAATATTTGCTTTTCAAGTGATCTGCACTCACGTATACCATAACCTACTGGTTACTGACCTAGATAGAAGAAGGTAGAAATGAAAATTGGAACTTTTCTGTATTATTTCTAAATCAGAAATCAATACAACCATGTAGGCTGCTACTAGATACAGTTTAGTAAACATAACCTTACCTGAGTCATTCTCCATTGCTCTCATTACTAGACATCACTAAAATAAAATGCAAGCCTTTTTAATCAGTGATCATCTTCCAAATATGCATTTTCATTTTGTCTGACACACCATTCTCTAACACAGCACAAAACCCACCCTCCGTTCCAAATCTATCCCTTTCTTAGAATTTCTTCTTACCACTTTTTTCAATCTTCACAAAGTTCAGCTCTTCTGAAACATGACCCAGGACACTGTAACCTGTTATTCCTGTTTCCTACAGTTATCCTGTAATCTCAAACTCACTATGTAGCCCAGGCTGGCCTTGGGAGATCCTCCTGCCTCAGCCTCCCAAGTGCTGGGATTACAGGTGTGTGCCACCACACCCACACCCGGCTCACATTCTTTTATTCGTTGAAGATTTTAGCACCTGCTCCACTGTCTTTCCTTCCACAACTATTCCAATGATGATTCCTAGTGATTTAAATATGAACAGAGGAGCTCCTCAAAAGTGTACTCTTTTCGGGAGCCAGGGATTTAGCTCAGTGGTGCCACCACCTGCCTCGAAAGCACAAGGTCCCAAGTTTGATCCCTGGTACCAAAAAAAAAAAAAAGTGTACTCTTTTCTGTTCCTTGATCTCTCCATTTCCAAAAATCTTTTCCTCAACTGATATCAGCCACTCATTCCCACAATTATACCCTTGACCTTGTAATTACCCAATAAAAATCACCACTTCAATATTTCATTATAAATATTCCATACCACCCTGAACACCAGCATGCCTTTCTTTCCGGTATGCTTTTCCCAATACAATCTTCAGCATTTTCAGAAAGAAATCCATTGACCCTACCAACTTTTCCTCACCCATCAATCTCCCTGTTCCCACTATGCACCATTCCTTACTTTCCCACATTGTGATAACCATTGCTTTGATATACAGATTCTCAACTCCCTGCTCTTCATCACCCTCCTAATTTATCAGGCAAAATCTCTAATTCAACACACCTTTTTGCTTATTTGATTCCTACATCCAAGCAGTTAAATTTTCAGTTGAAAATAAAAAACAATGATGACTCATTTCAGTTTAAATTCACGATATATCTTAATTGAACCCTCTACTATTGATTTCACAGTTCCTACTCTTAAGATGACTGTTTCACAGCTATTCCTTTCTTGTTGAGCCTCAAACACCTGCTCTTCCTTCCTTCTACTCAGGCAACAGCTTCACCTCTAATTTCATGAAGTTAATAGAAACAATAACAAAGAGAATTACCTCATCTTCCTACCTTCCAATCTGCTAGTCTGTATTCATATCTCTAGTCCCACTTATAGCAAAATCTCTTGAAATGGTTGACTACAATCACAGTCTCAAATTTTATGCTACCATTTTCTCCTAAACCAATTCCAATTAAAGTTTCACATGAATCAGTACAGCAAAGCTGCCTTTGGGAAGGTTACTGATGGCTTCTACTCTATCAAACCTAATTGTTAATAATAGATCCTCATCTTACTCAAACTCTCAGAAAGCTTTAAAACTATTAGCATCGCACACACTGAAATCATTTTCTTCACCTGGCTGCTGAATACTATTGCCCCTGTACTTCTTCCTTCATTACTGCCTCTTCTCAGTTCTCTTTGCTACTCTCTCATCTGTCTGACCTCTAAATATTGGTGTACCTTTGACATCAATAGTCAATGCCTTTTCAGTTCTTAATTTCATTCATTTACTCCTTTTTTATTCAGTAATGGGATTAAACAGAGGGCCCTGTGCATGCTAGACAAACACTCTACCACTGAACTATATCCCCAGCCCTCAAACACTCCTTATTTTGCCTTTTCTACTTTCATTGCTTTGAACTACCATCTGTATGCTTATGATTCCCAAAGTTACATCTCCAACCTCAACCAGTCCCTTCAACTACAGAATCACATTTCCAACTAAGATATCTTCTTAGACAGCAAAAATCATTTAAAATGTATCATGCTCAGCACTGAAATCTACATTTTTCTCCCTCAAACCTATTCTTTCTATAATCTTCCACTAGAACAAACCCTTTCATATATCCAATTGATTCAAGCAAAGTATCTTGATTATTCTATCAGATCTAGTACCTTACTCCTCACAAAGAATCCATCTGTAAATCCTTCACAATATATACCTCCAACATATCTAAAGAATATACCACCTCTATTGCCATTGTCCTAATCCAAACAATTGTCATCTCCTGCCTGGACTATCCTTACAACTGCCTGCCAAACACTTGCCCTCATACAGCACCCAGAAAAACCCTTTCAAAATAAAATTTTAATCATATCATTCTTGTGCTCCTCAACCTCTAAGGTTTTCCCATCTCCCATTATCACAGTAATTTGCATTAATAAAACAGAGTCAGACTCACAGCATACAATGTTCTAAATGACCTAGCCCAAGCTACTCTTCTAGTCTTGTTTCCTACCACTCTTAGCCCTATTCATTAATCCTCAGTTACACTCACTGTCCCTTAAACAAGGCAAGTAATCACCTCTAGAGGTTTCACACTTTCCTCTAAATGTACTTCTTCCTTCAGACATCTACATGGCTTGCTTCCTTATTACTCAAATGAAATGGAGGAGCTTGGGCTGTTTTGTTCAGTGAGTTTTCTCTAGTACCTGTAACAGTGCTTAATATGTAATAAGCACTCAACAAAGATGTTATTTGAATCAATAAATACTCCCTTTCCAAGCTTAAAAAAAAAAAAAGGTTGTTCGTGCACACTTAAGATCCCATTCCTTAGATGCAACTCAATCCTCTATTCACATTAATATGATCACCACCCAACTCATTCCATTACTCCTCTCTTGCTATGGTTATAGTACCTTCTTGTTCCCAAAGCCTCTAGACACTATTCTGTTTTAATAACATGCTCTTTTAGTCAATAGCTACCAAAGCTTATTACAGTGAAAGCTACTATAGTGAAATGTTAGAAATGATTGCCACATTCACAAATTTAACATATAAATATAGGTCCTCACAATTTAAAACAGCTGATAAAAATCTTCCTGGATGGAACATATTCTTCACTCGACTTTCTGCATACCGCATTTCCTCATTTTTTCTCATGCCTATGGCAACTCCTGTGGTGTCCCAGCCTCCACACAAATTTTAGACACACAGAGTTCCACAAAGCTCTTAGTCCCTAAGTCATCTCTAACTCCAAATGTCCTCTGAGATATAACCTTGATAGCTAAGTGCCTACAGAGTACCTGCTCTTTGCTATCTTAAAGCTTTCTCTCCTTTAACATACCTAAAATCAACTGTATACCTCTTCATCCACAAATCTTCCTCTTCTTATCAATGTTTTTCCATCCCTGGTGCTTTGCCACAGGTAATACACCTAAAATTCTAATCCTTGACCCTGGTGGAACTCACCTTAATGTCAACATCGCTTAGACATTCAAGAAGGTGTAATAAGCAAGTTGCTGCTACCACACCACGACCCAGCTGCAACCATCCCCCAAGCTGGCTCTACATTTCGCTTCTCTTTGGCAGCAGAAGCACAGACTAACTGACCTGATCATGAAGAAGTCCAAGGTACAGGGAGAGAAGGTAAGCATGGAGGACCAGGAGACCAAGGAAGAAAGCACAAGCAGGGTCAGCAGTTTCAGAGATTCCAGTTTACTCTCCCAAAATGACTGGGTGAGAGATAGCCATGAAAGAGCACCACGGAGAGGGGCCAGGGATTTAGCTCGGAGGTTCACCTGCCTGCCTTGCAAGTGCAAGGACCAGAGTTTGATCCCCAGTACCAAAAAAAAAAAAAAAGAGCACAACGGAGACTGCAGGCTACACACAGACCCCTGGAGGAGTTTAAGCTCAGGTCAAGAAGGACACACACCCTGCCTTCCATAGTGAGAAACCAGGCCTGGGGAGTACTGACATTAAATCCAAAAGTCTGCTTGAACCCTGGCCCCTCAGCCTACATCAGGCAGAGACCAGAGGGCTGACTGCTTTTTCTATTTGCCAACATAAGCAAGGTACGTCTCAGCTTGAACAATTACCACAGTCTGGGGTGAATGTATAGAGGGGACTCTGGTGCAGAGAGGGCACCTCACAAACCCACAGGCCCTAAAACGGGGTAGAGAAACCATGATTTGCTGAATTATAAGAATGCAGGTGCTGGAAAGAGACCAACCACTCATTCAAAAACACACACACATTATTTTTTACTCAATCTTTACTTTGTTCTGTTTTTCTTTTGTTTGTTTGTTCTTTCCTGTGACTGTTTTATAATACAATCAATTTCCTTTTACTCCTCAATATGATCCCCTTTCTAACTTTTTCTCATCTTCCATTCATTAGTTTTTCAAAATTTTTTTCTCGTTCTCCAGTTCCCCACTCACTCTACCTATAACTATTAAGGGTCAGGGATTTAGTTCAGTGGCACCTCACCTGCCTTGCAAGCACAAGATTTTGAGTTCAATCCTCAGTACCCCCCCAAAAAAAACTATTATAACTATTAAGCTTTATAAAACTTAAGATTGCCAGTGAGCTCCATGCTATGAATATCGTTCTATTGTTAGTGGTGGTGAAGTTCCATTTAGTAGATATTTACTGTAGGTCAGTATTCGGTTTGCTTTGTGTTTATATTTAATTACACATCTCTTTTCTATGGTTAAGGATGTTACATTATTCATTCCTAGAGTATGTC